GAAGGCTCAGCCCTAAACTTAAAGGACTGCAATTGTAAGGATCTGGCTATCTGAGAAAAGGCCCCTCTGCCAGGACAAGATTAAATGAAAATGCAGGAGTTGTGACACAACGAGGTGTGAAACTCTCAGCTGAGAGACTTTGATCCAAGAAAATCTTATGGGAGATTAAAATGCTGAGAAGATGGGCACACTTTCAGGAGCAAAAAAAGGCCTATCTTTCTACAAACATTTTCCAATCCAATAGTAAGAACAGCACGTTTTCATTATCCATTAAAAAGCAGGGGAGGAGACTCAAAATAACTGCAGTTGAATCACCAGGACTCTGCTAAGCAGTAGTGAACACGAGCCCCAGTCACACACATGCAGGTACCAGCTCCAAGCTCCTCATTTACTTGGCATGCTGAAAATCACTGTTCTCTTGGCCTCTTGATGACATCAACCTGGGAGTTCTCTTTGTGTTTACATACATGTCAGAACGTATGGGAGAAGTTTTGCAACAACTTTGAGAACTGGAATAGTCAGAGATCGCCCAGCCCAGGTTAATGGGAGCAACAACAGGCACTTGTCCGCTGGAGAAAGGAGGAGAAAACCTCCCTGGGGGGGGAGTTTTGGGGGAAGCCCTTCACACCTCCTTATTGCTTCTACTGGATAAATTCCTCAAAGACCAATCTCCTCTAAAGAGATATCTAAATACCAAATATTCCATTCCCATATTTCAATATAAAAATGACTAAATTTTATTCATTCATAGATCCACACTTTCAGTCACAGACAGATGAAGTGGGTATACTTGGAGTATTATCCAATCACTGCTTTGAATAAAATAATACACCTTTTAGACTCAGAAAGATATTTTGAATAATTTCCATTAATCGATTCTTCAGGATTTCTAAAACCCCACATGCCGAGTTACTCTGAAAGAAGCCAGTATTTGTTACACTTCCTAACTTTGGAAAGAACCATTTAAGTTATCTCGAGTACTTGCGTTACTGTTTAAATAAAATGAAAACCTTCATCAGAATTTACAGTATTTATAATTTAATGTGCACTATAAGGTATCCAGTAAAAAATATTCTGGACCAAACAAACAAAAAACAACAACAAAAACCAGATTAACATCTTCATGTTATTAGCAAAAAAAAAAAAAAAAACCACTAAGCCCAAACTGCATCATTTAAACTATTAAAAAACCGCTCATTACTTAGCCAATAAAAAAGGGAATCTGCAGACACATTATGATTAAATAGCACCTAATTTTATATTAAATTTATATTTCATTATAACAATAAGCAATAAATAAGAATGTACTAATTTGGGTGTACAACAACAAATACAGTTGTGTAAACTGTCAAACRAAGCATCCCTCTCTCTGAAGAACACTCTTATCAGAAGGGTGGAGGAGAAAGAGGCAATTGAAGCTAGGAAATGATGGATAGCAATGACCTTTCCATCTGCAAAACGTGGGCATATTTTAGGTATTTAATCTTGAGAATTGGATTATTATTAATCAATTATTCATGACAATTTGAATCTATGGTAGATGTTTTTTGTTTTCTTAAATATCACAAAGCTAAGGTCCTGCCTGGGAACCTGAAAGGAGATTAAATCCTCACAAGCAAATAGTGTTCAGGATACTGGCATTTTCTACCGCCTCCTAAACATTCCTTCTCCGACATAAAAACACACACTAATGATAATTCTCTCTCTAARCCTTCGGCCTGAATATTCTGGAATCCACCTTCACAGCCATTTCAACAGAATAGAAATAACAACAAAAAATAAAAAATAAAAACACCTTTCCCAAAGAACGAAACAAGACTTTGTGGCAAGGTGGAACATCAGAACCTCCTTTACCTTCACAGGAGTGAAGCACAGCCACAGGTTACCCTGCCATATGCTTAAATGCTCAGTCTTTCTCCCTTGCCAAAGGTGGATGACAACAGAAGCAGAATGTCCCMGCTACAGGGCACTAGATCACAGAGAAAACAAGCAGAAGGTGCTTGCAAGTATTTAAAATGCACTACTGGAAAAGAAGGAAAGACAAACGAAGCCATCCTAGGGTTAAGCTCTTTTTAAAATTTGAACTTCTGCGACTGAAATAAAATGCAAAGGAGGTGTGCATGTCTGTGAGGGGCAAGGGGCAGGTCTCAATATTGCCTAGAAACATACCTGAGGTCAATATAAATAAATAAATGAAAAGGTTATCCCAGTTTTTGAGGAAAAAAAAACGTTGTCCCTTCCTCAGGCACTAGAATTCTGGGATCTGGACGGCCAGGGTAACCAGCTGAAAGGTAGAGCCTAACTCGCACATCTAGAAACCAAACAGCTGGCAGTGCTACATGTTCTCAAATACTCTTGCTACCCTTATTTCTGCTCTGATTATTTATTGCTGGTCTGTTAGCTTCAGCTTCCACGCATTAGCTCTAAGCTTTCCTTTTGGTCCTTACAGTGAAGAGCATCAAATTTCTGTGTCTTCTTGTACGGTGCTTCCTGGGGCCTAAGCAAGCCACTCTGTAACCTCCTCCCCGTTCACACTGAACAGACTGACCTGCACCAGTTTTTCACAGTTCAGATGTGTTTTCACATACTCGGTGATTCCCGAGATGTTTGTGGTTCATCGTTGACCAGAGCTGCACAGAGTATTCCAGTAACGGTTACGTGAGCGCATTAACAGTTAATACAAAAAGGCAATACAACCATTTTCCTCTTACTTAGCTCTCCTCTGTTTGTGTGTCCAAAATTACCTTCTCAGGCACTGTGTTGCTCTGAAAGTTTATGTGCTCCTCTTCATGTATCATGAGTCAAGAGCTTTTCAGAACAAATTAATTCCTTGGCAAGAGCCTCCCAAAAGATTAGCCATTTCCCTGGGACATTATGAAAGTTTTCATTCTGGGAAGAAGGATGGTCCAAAGGAGGTTGGGAGGGGGACAATGATCTGGGGGACAACTCCTCATCTAGAGATTAAAAAAAAGGGCTTGAAAAGGACAGCAAGGTAAAAGTGAACAGAAAAAAAAAATCTTACTGTGGAAAATGGGTGCAGCCTTTTAGTTTATTGATGTTGCCTGGTAAACTGAGTTTACAAGTGCAAATGAGGAATCATACATAATGAAGTCATTACAGAGCCTCTAACACTGGACTTCGTTGTTGGTGTGCCAATAAAACTGACTGATTAATTTACTTCCATATAACAGCAGGGTAAAACAGCTGCAAACAAGGAAAACCCAAGAAATTAACAGCTGGAAACATTTATAAAGTGAAAGCTAAGGCTAGCACAAATGCATCAACTGTGGGGGTGGAAAGCAATCTGTATGGGAAAAAAAGAAATTGAATCATTAGGGTAGTGGTAAATAGATGTCAATACTTGCGAAAAAAAGTGTGCTCTGTCCAAAGCAATTTAAAGAAGCAGTTTTAAAATAAATCTGAATAGTCAAAACACTGTTTTCTTCTAATTCTAGGCTTCTTTTAATCTGCAATATTCTGTGAATTTTGGTCTTTGCGGTAATAGATTTGGTTGAATCACTGCCATTCCAAGCCACAGTACCTGTAATTTAAGATGAAGTACCTAAATAACCTTTGATATAAACAAGCTTCTCCTTGTTCTAATTGATCTACTATTCAAACTTTTACATATTGCAAGGGTTATATGTAATTGCACCAAATACTGTCCCTCAGTTTTAAAAGACATATAACTGAAGATAGTTGTCATGCCACTTTACACTTCTCTTACTGCTGCAATTTTACCATACATTGAAAAAAATTACCTTTTCTCCCTCTTCCCCACTTCAGCTCCTACAGTATGTCCTTGCAGTGAACAGCTTAAAAGAACCACAGCACCATCCCATAATATTTTGTCATTTCCACCATACCTCAGGCACTCTGCACCACTACCACCCAGTAATTTTGCAGCTTTTGCAGAGAGAAATGAATGAGGAAGCCTTTGGGAAGAAGGAACAACAAAAAGGCCACCCCAAAAGCRGCAGATGCCATGTCCACCTCCTAATATAATAACGAGCTATGTTAACAGTAGGCTCAGATGTATGAATTTAGCCTCTGTGTATGGTACAGTAGATGAGCAGTGTAAAGAAAAACTGACCCTGGAGCGCATGGTCAGAGAACGATCTCAGAGGGAAAGCTGAAGCACCACTTAGCATTTAGTCCATTTGCTTTCTGAATACACCCTATAATTAACAAGCAGTTTCTCATGCTGCCCCTCCCTTGAACGTCCAGCATTCAAATATGCACAGAATGTTAAAGCAGCTTTAGCTCTGGCTGTTAACAGAGGTATTTTAGCCTTAGGAGATGCAATCGTGGACAATCTTTTGGGTACCATATGTTCTTCAATTTGTGGGAAAAATAGGAATAACCATGCATGTTTAAAAAGAAATAAAAATTTAAAAATCCAAAACATAAACCAGGATTGCAGATTTGTAAAAACTAATTTAAAAAACATAATTCCATAGCACTTTAGGTTAAAATTTAGGATTCTTCTCATTTTGTATGTGAAAGGGCTGTGCTTCCTTTGGCAGCCTGTCCAGCACTTACAGTAGTTTAGCACTCAGAACTCCTTACCAATCTTCACCTCGCCAGTACTCAGCAGGTCTGGAGGAAACTGCTCTCTGCACACTTTACTCTGCCACTTAGAAGTATAAGCAGGGAAATCTAAGATGCTGCTATCTAGCAGAGCAGCACACTGCAATTCATCAGCCTTCTGCTTCCCATTATGAACAATAATGAAATAATACAACCTTAAAGCTTTAAAAGGTAAATGCTAGGGAGGTGTTGGGCTGCTGCAGCAGGAAGGCATCCACCTCGCACTTTTGCTTTGCCTCTTTGCTGACACACASTGATGATAGAGGGAGCCCCTCCAGGAAAGCAACTTGAGGGGTACATTGGAGCTGCAACACAGTTCAGCTGACGTGTGTTTAACCAAGTGCACCAGCAGCATCCTGGTGCACCTAGAGCAAGGCCAAGTAGCAGCAAGCTGTTCTAGAAATACTTACTTCTGACGAGGTCACCATCAGTGGGATTTCCCCAGGCAGCCTGCTCCTGTATCTCCGGTTGGGTACTCTGCTTATTGGAAGGCTGTATTACGTCTTTATCTCCTACGGCAGCGTTCTCTTGGTCAGATTTTTCTGAGTCAAAAGAAATATAAGATATTAGTTGCTGACTTATTTTTCCTTAACGTTAGCAAAAGTCATCTTTTAAAGCTAAAAAGTAGACAACGTAAAATACACCTCATATTAACATCTTAAAAGTTTTCCTTAAAAATAATTCCTAATAAAGTCATTTTTAAATTTGCTTTATTCTGATTAAAATAGCTCCTCTTTAAGAAAGTCTTTTGGTGATTATACTTAGTCAGATTATGTTCACTTTCCCTGTAATTTTCATATGAAAACTTAAGTCTATTTACACACAAAAAAAACATTATTTTTTTGTCTATATAGATGCGTCTCTGGCATGTAAAAGCCACAGAAATTCCACAAACCTATTTTCCTCTGTTTACAATTCAACATACGTTTAAAGACTTCAAATCTGACTAGYGTAGCAACTTTATTATGACACAATTTCCTAATTTTCCATCAAGCTTTTTAAAAACCGTTCTTGATTAACAGTCAACTTGTAACCTGTGATGAAAGAAAAAACAATGATTTATTTCCTGCAGGTATAAACAAGATACACGAAAGCTCACACAGTAAAGTTCTTCAAGRGATTCTTAATCTTATTTCACAAAACAGCAGATCCTATTGTTTCCAAGTTTTCCCCAGTTAACAGAGGCAGACTTGTATTTTCTCAAACAAAGAGGGTGGCTGCTTTCACTTTCGCTATTGTTATTGTTTTAAGGGGGAAATTCACACACACACACACACACACACACACACACACCCTTCTGTTCTCAACTGCCACAAGATTTTCCTACTAGCATTCAAGAAAATGTTTGCCAATCAGGAATTATTCTGTTCATTATTTGCTGTCAATGTTTATCAATTATATCTCACATTTATGAGATTTGTAAAATATGGAATATTTGCAGGTTGAAGTATTTTTAAATGTACATATATAATTTTATACTTAAAGTTAATCCAAAGTAATTGTTGAAAAGTCTGTTAGTTCTATTCACTACTTTCAAACTAGAGTTATGTCATTAAACCTCTTACCACAGTGTAATAACATCACATTGGCAGCTAAAGCAATGATTCCAGTCTTGAAGTCTTTCAGAGATTCTCCTTTGGAATTACTTTGCTCCAMTAACACTCACATTACAGTATCAACCCTGCACATGTAGTACAGGAGAGCCACACTACCCAATTGCCTTCTACAGGATACAACTCTGCAGAGCCTTACTATTTTGTAGCAATAAACAACTTCAAAGAAAGATTAACATTAACTATTAATACTATTGGACACTAAATATTCCAGATTACATTTTTACCTAATCAATTGGAGAATGTGCAGAATATAATCAAATATTGTTATTGACAGCTACTCAGTTTTCATGTTTCTACTTGTTTTCAGTCCAGTATCTTTTTTTTCTGCTTAATAAGCTGTATGTGTATTTTCCACATTTACTTCTATTATTCCAGCTGGATTATGATAGACGATCTGTCAAAACCATATACACAATATCAAGAGCTGATAACAAAAAGGAAAGGTACACTATTAAAAAGAAAAACAATGTGGCTATTGAATACCAAGCAATCTTGATAGGAAATTTACTATAATTAACATTAATTGAATATCTGGTCTTTGATCTATTGAATTCATCTGAAACTTCCCCATCAGTGTCCAAAAAAAAAAAGCTTACAACAGTGACATAAACAGTGTATTTAATACTTCACTAGAAAGACTAAATTGATGGCAGATTCTATAATACAGGGCTTTATAAAGAGTAGGTCTTAATGTTATGCCTATTTATGATTTCTTCATATATCCACACTATTAAAAAAACAACACCCCATAACACAGCACATAAACAAAACACAGTATCTTGATTAATTATTTGTTATTCTTTCATGAATGTGCACCATGTCTCAGTTTTAGTACAAAGGAAATTCTTCTTTTATTCCCTTAAAATAAACAACTGACAGTGAGCGCAAAGCATATCAATTTTTTTATTAATCTAAAAATGCAACTACAGCCTACCAGCCAATCACACATGAGAACAAACAGCCTCAAGAACACTTCTGCGTTAAGAAGTTGATACCACTCATTTTGTTAGGTACACAGAAATAGCTATGAGTAGCTAAAGAAAAATAATACATTTAAATATTACAGGACCAGTAAGAATCCACACAAAGTAGCAACCTTAATCTTCTCTGTTTGTGCAAGCTTGTTGTAGCTTCAATAAAGCCTAAAGATGAAAAAAGTAGTAATGGCAGGAGTTGTCCTTAAAACAGTTTGTTTTTTTTCCCAATTCATTTTTCAAGAAATTTATAACACATTTATGTTTTAATCAAGCTTAATCTTAAGAAAAAATGTGCTATTTTCCTGGTATGTGAGTTTCTGCTTTCTTTTAGGCACACTTCCTCTCTCATGTGATGAATCTCCAAGACTGACAGCCCATAAGGAGATGATATGTTCTGTCTAGCAGTTCAAATAATGGGAAGAAAAGAATCATTATCTTCTTAGTTTGACTGCTAAATACTCWAGCAGGAAAGTCTGATGCTACATAAAGATATTTTTATCCAGAGCTTCCTTCCCAAAACTACCATCTTTGCAACTACTAAGAAAATATGTTGAGGTAGAAACTCAATCTTTCTTCAGAGCACTGAAAGCTGCTATGGGTCCTGTCACTGAAGCACCACAGTCCTCTCATTGTGGTGCCTGATGCTCCTCATGGGCATCTCATTTCAGTTTCCAGACCTCCCCAGGCTATATATGACTTCAAAAATAAATGGTAATCCCACACGGAGTTTTATCCTGCAGGTCAGTGTAGACAAAATACCATCTTATGCATGGATCCACGCAAGTTTAAGATTTAAGTGAGGAAGAGAGACAACATGCAGGCAATGTTCAGAATTGACATGGTTAAAGACCTTAATCATATCTATATTACAGTCGATTGTGAAGCTGTTTAGTTAAAAAAAATAAATAAAGTTTTTAATCTTTCCTCAAATTGACTGTTTCATGAAATAAGTGAACTAAGTGAACTCCTAATCTTTGGTTAATTGGAATTGTTATTTTAAAGCATATAAAGATCACTTTTACAGAACATTCTTCATACTACCATAATCTTTCTATATTTATTTTTGAAACTAAACAGCAAAACACATACTCCACAGACCAGTATTTGTTTTCAGAGTTGAGACATCCGTAACACTGACTCTTTACTTCTGTTTTGGTTTGTAGCATGTGTCTCTGATTACATACATTTCTTTCCCTCATGTCAAATACATTTTGACAAACTCCACCAGCAGAGCACTGGCAACAGTTTGGCTCACCAGAAAGGAAACTATTCTAGTCCTATCTAATGCAAAATTTGGCAAGTAACTTGAAATGCCAAAAAAAGACTTATGTACCGTTGGGCTGAGAGGGAATACAATCAAACACAACTTATCATTTCTATCCTGTCCATTCTTTACCACAGCAGAAGGTAACTTCCATGCTTTTGTGAAGCACTAGTACACAGGTCAAACTAAAATCTCAGACCATCACAGATGGCTGGTTCTGTTCATGAGGTGGCAAATGAGGCTATATTAATCTCTTCCCCAAAAAAAAGTGATTTTTAAGTATGACAACATGAGAAAGTGGATGTGAGAAGCAGGTTTAGCGCTTGTATATTGACACAGGAACATTACACAATCTAAATGAGTTTTAAAAAGAAGYTACTGCAACAACAAATAACGAAGGCAACTTCTAGAGACCCTGAAGTGCATCACTGTCTTCAAGGAGACAGAGAAAAGCACCAAGAACTTGCTCAATGGAGGGCCCAAAAGCAACTGGCCCAAAAAACAAAATGCACAACTGGCACTAGAGCCGTTGCACTGTGTAAGGGCAGAGGAAAGACCACAGCGTGGCAAAGCGGCAGCACCTTGACACCTAAACTTGGCCGAGCTGCTGCGGCCRACACGTGAAGCCTCCAACTTCCTCAGTGGCTATTACCTCTGAAGAGGCAGCTGCAGGTTTCAACACAGATGGTGCTAATGGTATAATCTACCAAAATTGGGATTTTATTCTTCAAATATAGAAGTATAGATGTGGAAAAAGCACCCCAAAAGTAGAAGGTTTATGAGGGACAAGAAAGTGTAAGTTCCCAGAAGGAGAGATAACAAAAGGCCTCTCTGTCTCAAGCCTACGGGGTGGATTGAAGAACATGCAGCTAACTCTGCATTTTTAACATTTCCTTCGTTCATTAATACCCTAGTTGGCAAGAAACATGCGAGGATACTGTCTCCCACAGAAAATTCCACTCTTCACAGAAATAATGCAGTGGAACTTCCATAATAACAGGTTTCACAACGCAACTATGAACAATCACACCAGTTATTTCATGAAATACCTAAAACTTTCATGCAYTCCAACAAGCAAGTTCAACTGAATTATCTGGGTAACAGAAAGTCTACTCCCGTTCATGATTTGCCTGAAATGCTCTCATTTCTTAACTGATTGCTTTTATAATGTGAAACACTGATATCAGTAAATCTACAAATTTGAGCTGGAGGCTTCCATTTAGATGCTTGATTGTTTAAAAATTAAACTATCTAATTTGATTTTATGTCATTTTGGGGCTTTCRCTTAAATGTCTCTTTTCAACATTCCATGGCTCAAAAAAAGGCCACCAAAGAAAGCAGTCTCTTAAAACTGGACCAGTTCAACAGAACTCCATGGAATGAGAATCCCGTAAGAATTTTCCAGGTACAAGCAAGGTGGCAATTATTGAGACACTACAGGTTTGGCTCATGTTGGAGTTCAGGAATGACAATTCAACAGTAAGTATCAAAGCACAAATAGGTACTCTGTACTATTAAAAGCATTTAAAAGTTTGAAAACCTAAGTCAAAACTTCTTTCTGCATTTAGTCATACAAATTGCAAAACAGTTACAAATTTTTATCATTCATACAAAAACATTTTGCATACGTACAAAAACATAGGATTCATGAAAGTGCTGAACAGTACACAGAAATCCATGTCTTT